TTAGCATTATCTTCTCGAATTCCATCCATTTACCTGCAAATGCCATAATTTTATTCTCTTTTAATGCCGAATAAGGTTGATTCCCCAATTTTTTTTTTGAGGCTGTTGTAAATGGGGTACTTTTTCTCATTTCCCTTTAAGAGGATTTGTCATTGATATACAGAAATGCCTCTGATTTATGGGTGTTGATTTTGTATCCTGCTACTTTTCTGAATTCATTTACTAGTTCTACAAGTTTTCTGGTGGAATTTTTGGGGTCTTCTAGGTTTAGAATCATATCATCGGCAAGTAGTGCTAATTTGAGTTCTTTTTCTATGTGTATCCCTTTAATTTCTTTTGTCTGCCTAATTGTTTTGGCCAGAGTTTCAAGAGCTATGTTAAATAGAAGTGGTTAAAGAGGGCATCTCTGTCCTGTTCCAGGTTTTAGAGGGAATGCTTTCAATTTTACTCCATTTAGAATGATGTTGGCCTGGGGTTTAGCATAGATAGCTTTTACAATGTTAAGATATATTCCTGGGGCTGGAGTTGTGGCTCAGTGGTAGAGTGCTTGCCTAGCATGCATGAGGCACTGGGTTCGATCCTCAGCACCACATAAATGTAAAATAAAGACATTGTGTCCACCTAAAAATACTTAAAAAATAAATATATTCTTTAAAAGATATGTTTCTGTTATCCCTAGTTTTTCTAGTGTTTTTCACATGTTTGGGTGCTGTATTTTGTTAAATGCTTTTTCTGCATTTATTGAGATGATCGTTTGATTCTTATCTTTAAGTATATTGACGGGATGAATTATGATTATTGATTTCTGTGTGTTGAACCAACCTTGCATCCCTAGGATGAACCCCACTTGATCGTGGTGTGCAATCTTTTTGATATGCTTTTGTTTTCAATTTGCCAGAATTTTATTGAGAATTTTTGCGTCTATGTTCGTTAGCAATATTGATCTGAAGTTTTCTTTCTTTGGTGTGTCTTTGCCTGGTTTTGGAATCAGGGTGATATTGACCTCATAGAATGAGTTTAGAAGTGCTCCTTCTTTTTCTATTTAATGAAATAAATTTGTAGAGTACAGGTATCAGTTCTTCTTTATAGATCTTGTAGAACTCAGCTGTGTATCCATCTGATTCTGGGTTTTTCTTGGTTGGTAGGCTTCTGATGGCGTCTTCTATTTCCTTGCTTGAAATTGATCCGTTTACATTGTGTATGTATATCATCCTGATTCAATTTGGGCAACTCATATGCCTCTAGAAATTTGCTGGTGCCTTCGATATTTATTGGAGTACAAGTTTTTAAAATAATTTCTAATTATCTTTTGTATTTCTGTTTGTTGTGATATTTCCTTTTTTATCCTGTATGTTAGAGATTTGAGTTTTCTCTCTTCTTCTCTTTGTGAGCATGGCTAAAGGTCTGTCAATTTTGTTTATTTTTTCAAAGAACCAACTTTTTGTTTTGTCAATTTTTTCAGTTGTTTCTGTTGTTTCAATTTCATTGATTTCTGCTCTGGTTTTAATTATATCCTGTATTCTACTGCTTTTGTTGTTGACTTGTTCTTCTTTTTCTAGGACTTTGAGATGTAGTCTTATGTCATTTATTGGTGAACTTTTTTTTTTTAAGAAAAAAGGACTGTACTTCATGCAATGTACTTTCCTCTTAGTACTGCCTTCAAGTGTTCCAGAGATTTCAATATGTTGAATTAGTTTTCTCATTTACCTCCAAGAATTTTTTAATCTCCTCCTCGATGTCCTTTGCAACCTATTATTCATTCAATAGCCTATTATTTAGTTTCCAGCTGTTGGAATAGCTTTTATTTTTTATTTTATCATTGATTTCTAATTTCCTTCCATTATGATCTGATAGAATGCAGGGTAGTATCTTAACTTGTTTTGTATTTGTTAAGAGTTGCTTTGTGGCATAATATATGGTTTATTTTAGAGAAGGATTCATGTGCTGTTGAAAGAAAGTGTATTCGCTTGTTGAAGGATGAACTATTGTATATATGTCAGTTAAGTCTAAGTTAATGATTGTATTATTGAGTTATTGATTGTATTATTTGTTCAGCTTTTGTTTGGAAGATCTAACCAGTGATGAAAAAGGTGTGTTAAAGTCACCCAGAATTTTTGTGTTGTGGTCTATTTGGCTCCTGAACTTGAGAAGAGTTTGTGTGATAAACATAGATGCTCCATTGTTTGGGGCATATATATTTATAATTGTTGTGTCTTGAGCAGTATGAAATGTCCTTCTTTGTCCCTTTTGATTAACTTTAGCTTAAAGTCTACTTTATTTGATACAAAGATATAAACCCCTGCTTACTTCTATAGTCCATGAGAGTGGTATGATTTTTCCCAACCTTTCACCTTTAGCCTGTGGATATCTTTTCCTGTGAGATAAATCTCTTGGAAGCAGCATATTATTGGGTCTTTTTTATTTTGATACAATCAGGTAGCCTGTGCCTTTTGATTGGTGAGTTTAGGCCATTAACATTCAGGGTTATCATTGAGAAAATGATTTGTATTCTTAGCCACTTTTGTTATTTAACTTGACTTGGTTTTTCCATTGATTAGCTTTCCTTTGGTGTAATACCTCCCTCTGCTGATTTTCATTGTTGTTTTTCATTTCCTCTTCATAGACTGTTTTGCCAAGTATGTTCTGTAGTACAGGTTTTCTAGCTATAAATCGTTTTAACTTTTTTTTTTTAATCATGAAAGGTTTTTATTTCATCATCCAATCTAAACTTAATTTTGCTGGATACACTGGATATAAAATCCCTGGTTGGCATCCATTTTGTTTCAGAGCTTGATATATGTTGTTCCAGGATCTTCTAACTTTTAGGGTCTAGGTTGAAAAATATACATGTAAACTAATTGATCTCCCCCTATATGTGATCTGATTCTTTTCTCTCATGGCTTTTAAAATAAATAGTTGTTGTTAAGACGTTTACAGTTTGGTCACAATGTACAGAAATGATGAATTCAATTATTATCTACAACATAATCAGTAGGTTTGTAAAAGTGTTTACAGTTTCTGATGGTGGACAAAGATTCAGGGGTGAGGTGTAGGAAGATATGCTGAGGAGGTATGAGATGAGGATATAGAGTTATTATATCTTAGGAAGTGTGAAAGAGAAATCTAAAGAAGAAGGTTAGTAGCAGGAGAATAGAGAGGTAGTCATTTTGGGTAGACAAGTAAGAGGGAAGACAGTAAAGAACATAAGACAAACACACATATATATTAAGAAAAATAAAAATGTTAAAATAGTAAAATTTGGAGAGAAAACAAACAAAAGGAATATGCAACGCAACTGTAATATAGAATTCAGTTGTCTCAGTCCTCAGTGTCCTAATTCATGCAAAATACTTGGTTTCATATATGTTGGGGTTGTGAGGACTGGAGAATAAAGAGAGAGAAGAAAAAAAATCTCCGAAGGAAGAAACAAGGATTGTTTTGGTTGGAGATAAGTATCTTTCCTGCTTCTCTTCTCATCCAATAGATAGTATTGTCTGTTCTTAGTTGGTATCTCCACCCTCAGGATGGTGGGGGTTACCAGGGTGTGAGGGTTGGTCTTGGATGGAGGGCACCTGGAAGTGGCACCTGTCAATGCAGTTGGGAAACTGCACCTCAAGGATCTCCTTTGCAGTCTGCTCCTTTGACGTGGGTGCTGGGTCTTATCTCCTCATCTTGCCTGTAGACCTCACAGTTCCTGCCCCCTAAATTAGTCTCTAAAGTGTGTCTTCCTTAACCTTTCCTTTCTTCTTTCTAATCAGGAACCTTTCTCTCCAGATGTCTTGTGTGTGCACTCTGGTGGCTGCGCACCTGTCCCAGAGGGCTGTTTGTATTGGGCAGTCACTCTGCTGATGTAGGGGCTGCTGGGAATTGGGGGGAATTAGAAAATTATAGGTACCTGGCTATCTGGTGTTCCAAACTGGTAGTTGCCCCGACTAAAGATGGTGATGGAGGTGATCCAGGATGGAGGCAGCTGCATTCAACCATGGGGTGTCGGGTTGGGTGGGGGGAGCTGGGCCATGGCATTGTGTGATGTTCAGAGATGATGCAGTGTTGCAACTGTCGGCTTTCTGAAGAGCCTGTGATGTCCCTAGGTGCAGGCAGGCTACCCCGAGTAGGGGACTATGGCAGTAGCTGTCGAGTCCCAAGATGGAGGCGACCAGGGGAGCCCCACACTAGTAGATGGGGGTCCACACAGGAGTGGCAGCCAAAGTTCCTGTGCATGGGTAGTGGCTGAGTGTCCTTCCTGCGAGGCGTCTGGGAATTCTGTGCTGTTGCTGATGTTGGTGGTCCTTCTGAGGCACCCGCAAGACCTGCGTGGGCTAGTAGTCTGGGAGTAGGGAGTTCTTTTCTAATGCTGAGGCCTGGGGCCCTGTGCAGCATGGCGGCTGTGATTCTTGTGCCAGGATCAGCTGTGGAGGGGTCCTCTGTTGCTGTCTGCAAAGCAGTATTCCCACTAGTTGAGACCCAGGTCTCAGAGCAACACAGAATGCTGCCTCCCTCTGGCCTGCCATCTTGGATCCCACCTTGAGCTCTATTTTGCTTAGATCTTTTAAAATTAATAGCAAAAGTGAAAAAAAAACACCCTAGTGTCTCTTGTTTTAAAAAGTTGTAATTTAATTCCCAAATTGCATTATATAGCTCTCTGAGATGACACAGTAATTTTAAATAACAATTGCAAGTACCTTGCTCAGAAAATGTTAACGATTTGTGCTGCATGTAGGATAGGGTCTCAATCAACTTGCGGAACAAGCTTCTCATTGTTTCTATACACATCCTGCGTGTTATCTTACCTTCTCTCTGCTTTTGCTGGTCCTCTGGTTTGCGTCCAAATTCTCATTGTTACTGCCCCAGAATCAGGTGACCCTGCAGCATCCCCCAGCCTGGCTTCCTGCAATCACCTCCTTAGGAATAAATGGATGAGACTGATTCTTCTCACACAGTGCAATGGATATATATTGGAAGCACAATCACACTGACCTTTGATCTTTGCTTCTTTTCAGATATCTCAGTGAGCCTGCTGACCCTCGTGGTCACTGCCTGTGGTCTTGCCCTCTTTGGCGTGTCTCTCTTCGTGTCTTGGAAACTCTGCTGGGTTCCATGGCGAGAACGAGGCCTACTCTCTGGTAGCAAAGACGACAACCAGGAACCTTTTAACTGCACGGACACAGAGACCAATGAGCAGGAGAACAGTGAGGACTTCCTAGATCTACCCACACCCTGCCCTGACTCCTCCATGAAGATCAGCCACACCTCCCCTGATATTCCCCTCTCCACCCAGCCGGGGGTCCAGGAGAACTGTGCCCATGGCGTCCGTGTGCAGCGCCAAGTTACAGAGCCAACCTCATCCGCTCGGTCAGTAATGCCCACTTCCTTTCTGATATGCAAGGCAGAGACCACCCTTCCCTTTTTGTCAGTTATGGCATTGAATAGCCAAGAAGCATGTAACCTTTTAGATGTCCATTCAGTATCAGAAATATGAGTATGGGAAAATTGTGCTTCCTGTGAGGAGTTAGTTTCTGAGTGCTACTTAGTCTCTACCAAGTCCATAAAAGTAATAGCTAACATTATTAGAACTTATCTCTGAACATCACACAATAAGTACATGTATCTAGTATAATGTATAAACATTATATGCATTATTTTATTATAACTTAAAACTTTGATATGGATGCTATTATCATTTTATTTTATAGTAGAAGAAACTTAAGTCGAGAAGATTAAGTAACAAAGTCAAGCACCCAGGTCAGGATTTGAACCCTGGTTTAACCAACACTAGAACCTGAGCTCTTCCTTCACTACTGTTCTCTGCTGTCCTCCTAGAGCTGCAGAATTTATTCACTGTGTCTCTGGCCTGGCCTGGCCTAGGAGTCACAAATAGTCTGTCTTTAGACTCCACAATGTAGCTGGAGGTCTTTGTCCATCTCCAGCCTTTGTAAGGCCTACGGAGTACCTAGAAACCTTAGATCACTCTCTTTCTATTGTTTGGGTGCTTTGTACTCTTAAACAGTAGAGAAATAATGAAGGAGAGTAATAAAAATCATGGGCTCTTAGGTCTAATGAATTGACCTATTATTACCTATATGTGTAACATTGAACAAATTACTTATATGTGCCATTTCCTCTTTTATGTGAGAAGTAGAATAATACCAACTTTCAGGTGATTTTTAAAAGGAAATGATAACATACACTTACACAGATCTGCACCTAGTAAGTGCTGCCAGTTTGCTTTTTGTATTATTATTATTATCATTGTTGTCATTGAGACAGGCCTGTTCTCAACTCAGATTGCAGAAAGGTGGGTTTGAGGCTAAACAGCCAATTCTAAACCACTGGATATAACAGCCTAGTTTTAATAAGAGATGTTAGGGGGAAAAAAAACACGGAAGCAACTTTCTTTAAAATGAGAACATTTGCTTGAGTAGTAAAGGAATAGCATGTGCTATTATTTGGACAGTATGAACACAGTTTGGGGGTGTTTCAAGAAATCTTTTATTCTGTAGAACCAGAAATAAGATTTTACCCTTTTCTATGTTAATCAAGTTTATCCTAGAGGCTCTGCTCATTCACATTCAGGGGGATGGAATATGACAGTTTACAGTTTAATTTTTTCAGAAACCTGTTTTAGCATCATTTCCAATTCTGAATCAAAGAGCTAAACTTAAAATATTCCTCTGTAAGGAAATGGGCGGTTGTTTGCCATTTGATTTACAAGAAACCCTCAGATTTTATCACTAGGATTTCTCTTCAGATTTAAGACTTAAATATAACTAGAACTCTGTTTGATGTCATCATGGAGTTCATGCAGTGGTGCAGATTCATAATAAAATCCTCTCAGTACTTTAAGATGTGGAGCCTTTTAGATGAGGATTCCAGTGAAATTGTCTTCTATTTGGTTCTTTTCTGCATATAATTTATCTTGTCTGGGTTCCTCCAATGCAGGGTGATAAAACTGTTTTTATTAGATTTGATCTGAGCACTCTGCCATATAATTGTAATAAACTGATACCAATAATATCACTATAATTATCATATTTATTCTAGAAAAATATATGAGTACCCTGTGTATCAAAAATATAATTTGCTTAAAAGAGAAAAAACGTTGTTATCTTCCCTACTGATTTGTAGAAATTGGGTAGAAGAAAAGAGGGGGGGGGGCGGGGAAGCAAAGGTATTATCCCTGTAAAATGAATTTTACATTTAGATTTATTTTAGTTTGGGAGACATGCAATTAAATTATCTTTTCTGATGGCCAAAATCAGGTTTAGCAATAGCTGAACTGCTGTTAGAAAACTAAATTCTTCCCAGCTGCATTTGACCTAGTATTAAATATGAATTTGCATCTTTATGCATTTAAAACATTCATACTTAAATTACTACTGACCTAGTTTTGTGGGTTCTGTTTGCAGATACATATCTTTGTCTAGTAGTGTATGGTCCTCTGATTCTTTAGTGATTGTGTTGCATTATAAGAACACATACACACAAACCTTTTTCCTGACAAAGGGAGAAAGCAAATGAAATTTCCTTCATCTCCAAAACATTTTAACATTCTTTTTTTTTAAGTAACATATTTGAGAAGGGGAAAAGTACTCTGTTGAAATGACCCTGAGTAGTCTGTTCTGCCAGCCATTATTTCTTTTACCTTCTTTGGCCCAGTTGCGCATATGACTTAGGTTCCCGTTTAAGGACATCCTCCTTGTCACCATGATTGCCATAGCTTCTGTTATAGCATTTACACTGGAAATCTTAACTTTTTTCAAATTGGATTCATATGGCTCATACCAGTGCCATTTGGAATAGCCTAAAGATGAACCTTGTTTTATCTTCAAAATGTTTCTGGTCAGGATGACTTTCTGTTGTTGCAAGACCAAGCATGTAAGATTCTATGCTCAATTACTATTAAAACTATCTAAAATTCCTATTAATTCTTTTCAACTTCGGTGAAATCCCTCTCTGTTAATGATTTAATGTGTTGGAAATGTGTATATCTTCATTTCTCAAGAGTTTTTCAATACCAGAGCTTTATTATAGAGGACTCTATCCCAAGTATACAAAAATCTCTGGTTCTCCAAAATAGAAGAAACATTGAAAGGCTGTCAAATTCATTTCCTCATTCATGTCTCAAGATGAAAGTCCATCCTGGTTATTTAAGCCTTCTCAAATTTCCTGTATAACACTTTGGTACTATGAAAACTGACTGGTCGTATCACAAACTTCTTAACATGTCTGTGAAGGCCTTGCATGGTATTGGCAGAGCCTCTCCTCCTACCAGATCTTCCATGTTGCAAACCCCAGTGTACACTGTTTATGAGGACTCTGTAGGAGGCGTTGCCTATAGAAAGCTCATCACAGTCCGGCTACACTAGGCGGATCTCTCCCGCTTCCTTCAGTATACCAAACTTCCTGCTACCTAGAGACCTTCACACCACTGTTCTCTCAGCCAGGAATGCTTTTCCATTATCTTTGCCTTTCCTGGATCCTTTGCAACTTGAATGTCCTAGCTAAAATATCTCCTGCCCACAAAGGTCTCCCTGACACCCCACCTGAAAGATGCATTTTGTCCTGCACTCTCTCCCACTCTTAAGTTCACATGTTGCCTTGTTTTATGAACACTATTTCTATGTGATTATTTATTGCCTATACTCCCCACTAGACAAAGAGTTCTGTCAACTCAGAGACCACATCTGTATTGTTTCTTTCTCTGTACCTGGTACCTGGTATATAGCAGATTTTTTTTCCCCCATGAATGACTGATAGAATACATCGATCAATAGCAGGCTGCTTTTCTCTTGTTCTGCTGTCAAGAATGGCAAATGGCCAGAAGTATAAATTGAGTAGGGCCCATAATGGTGTGAGACTGGCAGAAGGCCATTTTTCTCAGGCTTCACATTCATTAAGAGTCTCCCATTTAGACTTTTGACCTTATTTCTGAATTAAACAATCCACAGACGTACAGAGATGCAATGACAGGATTGAAAGAATAAGATAACCATCACATTTTAAACTTGGGTCCCTTTACTGGCCACAACTCTCATAAGTAGTACACAAAGATTAAATGTTGTAATCATGAGTAGCACGTTTCTGTGAACCTATGTTTTTGTGTTGAGAGCAAAAAGCTTTTGAACGACTTGTAGTTATTTCTTCAGATTTTAATAAACTAACAACTTAAAAAGTGGAAGTTGCCTAGACCTATCTCAACTTCCATGAGACCCAGAAACTAGATATAAATGTGTATTTTCTCTACTGGGATTTAATTTTCAGAAATTGTTATGTTCATGGTGTTTGTATACTTACTATAAGCACATGTACTAAGCATCTGTCATGTGTCAAATTCTCTATTAGGTTCTGGTTTTAGAGAGAAAAAAATATAGTCCTCCCTTTAAAGACCCAAAAGAAAAGCATCAGTTACAAACATTGAAGTGTTCAAATTGTTCTTTAGAAGATTAATTTGAATGCATAAGATATGCGGGATAGGGCAAAGAGTGGATACAGAAGGCTAGTCCAAGCCTGTCATGGGAACAGTGGGAATGGAAAGACACAGATGATATGAGTGACCTTAGATAAGGTGTTGGTGGGCAAAAGTCTTGCTGGTTATGGGGGATATAGTATTTGACAGTGACACCAGGTTTCTAACCTATTTAACTTGGGAAATGGTGTGAAGAAGCAGGTCATACTTCAGTGTATTGAACTGCCCTTGACCACACTACTCTACTGGCCCCAAGGCCTGATGCCTTCATTATCTCATTCACTAGAGAAGCCCAAGCCAAGAAAATCTCAGGTTCCTATTCCCTCCTATCCTTGAAGTGTATTAACAGCCCCTGTCTAGTTCTTCCCTTTCTATGTCTGCTATGGTTTAGAACAACCAAACTCTTGCCTCTCCACCACCATGGGAGTTTCAGAGAAGATAAACAGCGTCCTGTCTCCAGTGTTTCCACACTTCCTGCCTTGACTAGAATGTAGTCAAGGAATCATTCTAGTGATGATTACTTCAGTACTTCTGAAGTTACATTTTGATTCTGTCTTGTCTCTCCTTGGACCTTGAAGCCTGGCCAACACTAGTATCCCAGAACCAGGGAAGGGATAGGTCGGGTTTCACCTCTGAGATGAGGCCACTGAGGTGAGGGAACACGGAAGAGAGTGCACCTGTCCATGGTTGTACCTTAAACCCAGAGATGAAAGGGATGTTGGGAATTCTAAACACTGGTTCTTATAGAGCCTGGAATGTGAGATGTGGTGGACATATATGTAAAGGGGTATGTATGATAGCTGGGTTTATATGAAAACTGGAGTCAAACAGCCGAAGATCCTCTTAAAGAGCTGAGACCAAGATGAAAATTAGTTAATTTCTCTCTGGACGTCTACAACATCACTTTGGAAGAGAATAAGGATGAGGCTAAATTAAATAGGCAAGCCCAGCTCAAGTACCATCTGCTCCATGAAAATGTCCTAAGCCAGAGGACTTTCATTCTCCCTTTCTGCTCTCAGGCTTTCTAAACCCTAAATACTGACTTATCCCCATCTGCCCTGCTTTACAGATCCTGGAGGACTATCTCCTCACTTGCCTGGCCTGTTATTTCCTTCAAGGCATGGGCTGTGCTTCTCTATAACTTCCGCTCCACTTGACACTTCCTTTGCATATTCACATTTGTTGAATTACAGTAATGTCCTCTTTCTTAAGATCTGATGGACATAGTTGGCTATTTGGGTGATGAGTCAGGGCCTGAGACTAGAGCTGAGACTGGTTAATTCACATTTGAGAAAAGGAAAGAAGGAAAACCTTTTTGTTTCTGGGCTCCTGCCTCTTCCTTACCCATGGCTGCAGCTCAGCACAAGGCTTAGATTGTGTCAGGTGTACAAGTTATGTTTTGGAGTTTATTATGGGAAACCCACTTTACAAAATTTGTTAATTATATTTGAACTCAAATTTTCAACAGGCTCAACCACAAATCTTCCAGTTCAGGTCTTTTTCATTTCTCAGCCAAGTTCAGTCTTTAAGTTCTTTTCCCTGTCTCTTCCATGATAGGAAATTGCTTCTGCTGCCCCTGAGAGAGAATGAGAGGTGGAGGAAGCTGAGTTTAAACCCCAGCATCCAGCTTCTCTGTAGCAAGTTACTTACAGAGGAGACTATCTTTCAGCTTTCTGCCTCCCTCTCCCACCATCCTTGAGGTTTACTTTTTTCTCTTTCCATTTATTGTGCACTTTGAATGCTGAGAACACCAAAATCCAGGATCCCCAGATCTACTCAGAAAACTGTGTTTTGAACACAGATTCCCCCTTACCATGATCACTCAATATCATAATCGATGTCACTCTGTGATATTAAAGTTCCAGACCAGGTCCTGAAGAACCTCTTGTATACGACACTCAGAGACCACCTCCATTGACCATTTAGAAACCCCCTCTTTTGAGGTGGAGAGAGCTCAGTTCATAACACTATGTTTGGATCATTCTTCCCTCTTGCTTTGGATTTGCTTTTTGTTCCTGCTTCCATTTCAATAGCCTATAAAAGCTATGGAATATTGATTTTCAATTTCTTCTACCTCATCTTCTCCTTTGTGTCCCTGGGGCAGCCTTCGTGCTCTACTTTCTCATCTCTCAGCCCCTGGAGCTCTAGCTGTTATGCAGGAAGTTACAAGTTACTCAGATTCTCTGGCTGTTCTGAACTTCTCTGTTCTACCCCTTCCCCCAACTCCCATAAATTCAGTGCCGCCTGAAAGGAGCCCCAGGCATTGAGAAACTGCTGTGCCTGGTTAGTCTTTGCTATCTGCTTTAAGCCAGTACCTAAAATTCAACTATTTGCCCAGGAGTAATTTTGAATGGGGAAAAAAAAGTATTGGTAAATAAATTAGCATGTAATACATTTGGTAGGTAATAGTATTCATATTTGTGATTGGTTTTTAAGAAGAATCTTTGGTTATATTGGAATTTTAAATATGGGTCTTCATGGGCAATCAGGTACTTGGAATGAAATTTTATTTTGGCCTTTGAAGTCCAAATCCATTATGCCCTCTCCACCTTACTCCCTTTACCTGCTGGCAATCCATTGTGGTTAGCAAGGTCTGAACATGTAGTACTAATTTCTCTGCACATTTTGTGTGTCTAAGAAAAATGCACATGTGCAACAGAATATGTTCCATTTCTAAGTAGCCAAATCCATGTGTTTTAAATTTAAATTTACTTGGTAGAATTAGTCCTACAGACAAGATCTAAAACAAAACATTGCTGAGATGTGATACATAGCCAGTTTAAAAAAAAAAACAAAACTCAAAGGTGACATTCACAGAGACTCTGCTCAGCAGCCACCCAGGGAAGAAAGGGGCGCAGAGTAGCTGGGCCTGGGAGACATACAATTGTTGCTACATCAGACTCCAATCCAAAAAGGAGCATCCAGTGGGTCTTGAAGGTGCATTTATATTATGTAAATCAGTACCACTAACTAAACAGCACCTAGAATAGTCCATACAAATCCCCACTAGTTAGTCCTATTAACTAATCCCCACTCAGGTTTGTGGGAACTGACTGAGTACCAAAGCTTGGGCCCTTTTTGGATCTAACCCATAGTGAAAAGTCAGTAGCAGAGGAAGATGGCACTGGCCCCATCCTCTTCTTGCCTTTGTTGCTTCCTGACAATTTTTTTTTGTCCTCAGAGGCTGACAGAGCAAGATAAAAGCTCTGCTCTAGCACCACACTGGTTCCAATTCTAGACAAGGGAATGGCCTAGCTGTACTAATGTGGAAGGCCAGTTTGGTCACTTACCAGCATTTGCCTCCTGGACCCCCAAAATCATGAGACGCAGAGAAACCTGAAGAATGTGGGGTTCTCTGGAAGAAATTGAAATCTCAGACCACATGGTTTTTGCACATTAAGGAATGTTTGTAACTGGGGTGTATCTGCTTGTTGGGGACTATGTTTGGTGTCAAATACAAGTGACAGCTCTGTGACAGTGCTCTTGTTATACCAGATGGATAATTAGTGATCAGGAGGATATTTCTGGAGGAAGAGGAATGTTCATTGTGACATCTGTGAGGTTGAATAATTTCAACCATGTTTTGAGGTCTGCTTATCACACCTTCATGTCACAATGTAGTTGTAAGAAAAGAATTAAAGATAAATACCAATGTTTGCTCTGCCTCTCCACCTCTTTACTAGTCCCTCAGAGACATCCTGGCTGTCCCTTTTACCGCAGACTATTTTATTGAGTAGCTACATATAACATAATATAAAGACTGTCAATTTGGGGCTGAAAACAAGCAAAAATAACCTAAAACCAACTTTGTACCAGGTGCAATGGTGCACATCTGTAATCCCAGCAGCTTGGGAGGCTGAGGCAAGAAGATCACAAGTTCAAAGCCAGCCTAAGAACTTAGTAAGGACCTAACCAACTTAGCAAGACCCAATTTAAAAATTAAAAAAATGGGCTGAGGATGTGGTTCAGTGGTAAAGTGCCTTTGGGTTCAATCCCTGGTACACACACACACACACACACACACACACACACACACATACACACAAATAACCCAACAACAACAACAAAAACCTTTTCAACTTGTGAGGATCCACACAGGTAAAACAGATTTTAAAGAGAATTTTAGGGAAACTTCTAACTCAAACCAATAAGCTTATAGGATGAAAAGTAGATAGGATGAAGAGTAGACTCCACTGACAAATATTTAATTTGCAAATATCAATATCCAAGCTTCTCTAACTTAATCCCTATCTTCATTTATAGTAGCTCATCTTTAATTTTGGTGCCATTATTGTTTATTTCAGAAATGAATCCTCCTGATCACTAATCACCCATATGGCACAGCAAAAACACAATCTCAACACTGTCTCTTGTACCTGTCAAAGTCAGCACGATCCCTGTGGGCAGACACATACTAGTCACATGAGCAAAAACTGTGTTCTTGTGATGAAATTATTTGATTGAACCAGAAAGGATTCATTTACTTCATTATAAGTTTGTAAGTCAATGACATAAAATTCTATGCAATTTTGAGAAAGATGCATTCATTCTTTTTAAGACAACACTTAGCTAAGTATTTCAATTTCAGGATATTATCTATAAGGGTGAATAATTTCATTTTTAAAGTAGCCCATACAAATCTTTACATTCCACCAGGCAGATAAGCTTCTTTAATGGCACATTAGACAGTTTAGAAAGTGCATTAAACCTTTAAAGCTTCAAGGTCACATGTTAGTAAGTTCATTTCCTGATACCAGCCTCAATTTTGAGCTTCAAGCCTTAGGGAGCAGCTTACTCACATTGATGAGCATTTTGAATTTAGGCCAAAAAAAAAAAAAAAGCCCACAGATCTAAGCTCTTAACATAACATAAGAGCTACCTACATTCCAGACACAAGTTTCTGAAAGACCCGTAGCTAATAAGGTTATAACTTCACCCTGTTTTGCTCTTCATTTAAGGCATAATTCAATCCGAAGACAACTCAACCTGTCAAACCCGGACTTCAATATCCAGCAGCTTCAAAAACAGGAACAGTTGACTGGAATCGGTAGAATTAAACCTGAATTATATAAGCAGAGGTCATTGGATAATGATGATGGGAGAAGGAGTAACAGCAAAGCTTGTGGGAAACTGAACTTCATTTTAAAATATGACTGCGATTTAGAGCAGCTCATAGTGAAGATTCACAAAGCTGTCAATTTGCCCGCCAAGGACTTTTCTGGGACTTCAGATCCTTACGTCAAGATCTATTTGCTTCCTGATCGGAAAACAAAACATCAGACTAAAGTTCACAGAAAGACCCTGAACCCTGTGTTTGATGAAGTGTTTTTATTCCCAGTTCCCTACAATGACCTTGAGGCTCGGAAGCTTCACTTCTCTGTGTACGACTTTGACAGGTTCTCTCGCCACGATTTAATCGGCCAAGTGGTGGTGGATCACTTCTTAGACTTGGCTGATTTCCCCAGGGAGTGCATCCTTTGGAAGGATATTGAATATGTCACTAACGTGAGTCCAACATTTCTTCATTGGGGGGGTGGGAGTTCTTTTTGGGGAGCCCGAAAACAGATTACATGTTTTTTTTTCCCAGATGTTAATTGCTAATGTTATTTTATTGGGGGTGCAAAGTATAAAATTCATGTTTATATTTTTATAGATGTTATTCTAGAACCTCTTTGAGCCTTTCCAGAGTG